TCTCCTGCAACATCAGAGACCATGCATTATTATGCTATTGTAGTCCGTGTGTGTGCATGAATCCTTTAAGGCCATCAACAGTAGCTCATACTGTGTTGTGTGTTCCTTTTCCCCAGGCTTGCTCATATAACTGAGGGCTTTGTAGTGCTACTCGCTGCTCCGTTTGCCTCGCGTCCCGCCGCTAAACACGCTGCTGTGGTGTGGATGCTCTGCATATGCCAGTTAATGCAATCAGCCTCTTGATTGATGTGTCCATCAATTGTAGATCCCTCTAACACTCTGCCTGCAGGATCGCAACTGCTGCCATGCAGCACTGTGGTCTGTTCTGCCGCTCAATCCGACTGCAGTCCGATATGTTATGCAGAGCTTCATTTGCTTGCTTGCTTACTCTGTCATGAGAAATTAATAAGATACAGTCCAAATGGTGTGTGAGAGAAGCCCTCATCCTTGATGGGCATTATTAGCTGAGAGCTCGCGATAAGGGCTCAGGGAACAGCCTCGGTGCTATTTATAGGTCTGGCATCGTGTGTGGCAATAGTTTGGGAGCGTGCTTGATGCCAAGTGCATGATTTGTGCCCAGGGATGTGTGGAAGGGGCAGGGTGAACACGCTAATGTCATCAAATCGTTAAAAGAGTGCTGAGAAAGTTCACATAACGTTTGTAAGGGGCTGCAAATTGATAAAAAAAAATATGTTTAATTATTTATACGATTATATGCCGATGAATAAATCTCAATCACATACGTCAATATTTACTGATAAAAGCACTTATAATATAAAGATAATTGAATGCTATTATGGCTTTATATGCCGTATTATATGTTGTATCCATCTTATTTTGCAATGTGGAAGTAAGCTATTTTTAAAATGTGCAAGACTTCAGATACATTAGCTGCTATAGGTACATAATTAAGAATAATTAAGTGCAGTAAATGGAAAAACTTGTGCTACAAACCAGTGTGTTTATGATAATTAATTAAAGTAATATTATAACAAATACCAGTTTGGAAAATCAAGCAGCATAATGAGCTTGGACAGATAAAATAACTGAAAGTGGATGACATAGGAAGCCTTGCATATTAAGTTACAAACGGTTGCACCTGCTTAAAAATTAGCTGCATATCTTATGTGTTTATCTATAAGCCTTAGACATAAGGGCCTATCACATGCAGATTCTGTGCTTATTTAATTCTTGGAATGTAAACGTCCCCCAGAATGATATTTGCTGTTTTTCCAGCTTGATCACGTTAGTAATCATAGGTATTTGTAAATACTACATCATTTTTATTTAATTTTTTATGCTTGGGTATGCTCTGAAACATATGCATAGCTTTAGAAACATGCAAGTCTCTTACGCTCACCAAGGCTGCATTTATGTGATAAAAAATAAAGTTAAAAACAGCAATATTGTGAAATATTATTGCAATGTAAAATAACTGTTTTCTATTTTAATATATTTTAAAATGTAATTTATTCCTGTGAGTGCAAAGTGTAAGTTTCAGCGGCCTTTACTCCAGTAAAAAAAGAGTAATAGTAAAAGTAAGTAAGTTAATATTATTAAATATTAATATCATTAAGGATAACTGTTGTCTATTTCTATATGTATTTTAACTCATGTACTGGTGTTAATTTTTTTCATTAATTGCATTAAATAAAAATGTACATTATATTAACATGAGGTGTGATTGCATCCTTGTGCAAATCAGCAATGGTGCACACTCAAGGCTTTCAAAGGGGCAATGTGGGATCTCACCTACCTCACACATAAGCTAACAAAGGTTAATGACCTGGATTTGACCTGGACTTGGAGTGACAGACCTGGCTCCATCACACATCCTTGTAGTGGAAGATGATCTCATATTTCTCTGCAGCTCCAAGCAGCCAGACATACTGATGTGTGTGCATGTGTGACTTAGTCAACAGGCCAAATGCAGCAGTCATGCATGTGTGACTCCAGCTCTTATATAAACTTGTCTCTACAGGGATTCCTGTATAGAAGGTGGGATGCGCTCCAGTAACTGGCACCATTCCGACTTGTATGATTTGTGTAGAATCATATTTAAAGGGGTCATATGATGTTGCCAAAAAGAACATTATTTTGTGTATTTGGTGTAATGAAATGTGTTTATGCGGTTTAAGGTAAAAAAAAACAAATCATTATTTTCCACATACTGTACATTATTGTTTCTCCTCTATGCCCCGCCTTTCTGAAACGTGTCGATTTTTACAAAGCTCATCGGTCTGAAAAGCGAGGTGTGCTCTGATTGGCCAGCTATCCAGTGCATTGTGATTGGCCGAATGCCTCAAGCGTGTGACGGAAATGTTACGCACCTTACCATACTGTGATGCCTTGTCCCGCCGGAGCGACAAGACAAAAACATTAAAACCCATTATAAACGAGGCATTTGTTGCATCCAGTGGGGACATAATTACGGATTATAATGACTTATAGTGTCTTTTTACGCGTTGCGTTGCATCTCGCCATACATAAAACCATGTCTGCATTTGTGATCGGAGAAATTACAAACAACAAGCCCTACTCTACACTGCCCAAAAAACTCGCTTTAAATATACTTACAGTCTGTGAGTCAGAACATTGGCATTGTAGTCTACTCTACCAGGATCAGTAAACAGTCCTCCGTAAAATGTGCTGCACACATCTGAATATTTGGGTTGAACTGTTCTGGAACAGTGTTGTAAATACAACTTAACCACTGATTTCTAGTCGTGTCCTCTTTTGGAAGGCCAAACAAAGTAGTTTCACACAGTGGGCTAGAGTGAGCACACATGGCGGGCTTGAGAATGGCGCGGCCGGCGGGCTTGCGGCAACCACATGTGACGACCCCGGGCTGGACTCTGCTTCGTCCATGGTGAAAGCCGATCTGGCGATCCACAGCGCGAAGTTGATGTATTTCCTCAGCAGATATCGTACTCTTTTGGAAGGCCAAACAAAGTAGTTTTGCTTTCAAAACGAAACACACAGCGTCTTCACGACATGGCGGCGGTGGCAACAACAATACTACAGCGAGAATAAAAGTTACGCCTTCTTTCTTTGCGTGAACATTTGGGCGATGTTATGCAAATCTTCCCACATCGTGACGTAGACATGTGAAGGCGTGTTAAAACGAGCCGTTTTAGGTAGGCGTGGTTGACTCTTAACTTTTATAAAGAATATCTCTTTGGATTTGAGACTTTAGTCTTTGCAACTTTACAGATCTTCTTTATGCACCAAGAGCTTGTAACACTCCAAAGAGAAAGGAAAAATTGAAATCGCATAATATGACCCCTTTAAAACATTAAACATTGACAGGAAACAATAAAGTTAGATTTATTGGCAGGATTGTCAGCATTTACAATATATCCTAAATCTTGTTCCTAAAGAAATGCATTTTTGGTAAGCAGACTTTCATAAGTCTTAATAAATAAACCCACCCCAAACTTTTTAATGTTAGTGTAAATTGTCATTTTTCTTTGGATTTTTAGGGTGTATCTGCATAACTCCTGTATTCAGTTCCTGATTCAGTTCTTTTTTTCTCATATTTTCAGTTTGATATAGAACTGTATGTAAGATATGCTATATGTCACACTTTCAAATAGCTTGCACACATATTGAAGTTGATAGATTTATATAGTAGAATTTCATTCTGTGTTCAAGGATGGTGTTATCCAGACTGAAAAGACATCCGTGTTCCCGACATCTGGGGTTTTTCTTTAATATATAAATTAATTTTTCTTTGTAGGAGAGCTCTTTGTCTATAGAGCTATAGAGCATGCCTTTTTTCTCAATAAAGCAGGCAAACAGTTTTTTGTCTTGTGTCTGTTAATTAATGTGTAGAAGGTCTATACGTGAACGTTAGTATGGTATAGTATGGTATAGTTAGTATTAGTATAGTATTAGTATGGCCTTGATCATTGCATGAGAAAAAGAGTGCATGGCAGGAAGTAGAGAAGATAACTTCACAGCCTTCAATGAAAGAAAATCCTGTGCCCCTTTAACACTCTGCAAAAAAGGTTCCTTATATCATTGTGAATTATTTGATATAACATGTCAACAACTTTAATTTGATTTTTTCCCCATGGAAACAGATCACAAATCTTTCACACGTGACTAAGAGGTTAAACTCAAAGGCTAAGTGAATACAATATAAAATAGATAAGGTCTTATTTCCACATTATATGAAGTATTGTTGCATTTTATGTTTTCGTTCCTTTTAGTGGTCAGATGGGTACAGTTTGTCAGGAATGATCATATTGTTATAGGGTTGACTAGCTTGTGCTCTCTGAGACGCAACCCTTCTAAGAGTTCATAAGTTATTAGTTCATCCACTCTTTCCTAATGTTGGGATCAGAAGGAAGGCAACGCAAACACTGTTTTTTTTCCACAATTTGGCACTGCACAGCATCTTGTTGTTTTCGGAGCATCTTTATCGTTTGGTTTCTGTGTAGACCTGCGTTTGCCACTCTTGTCATTTAACTACTACGTGGCTAAACAGGCAGCGATGTAGAAGCAGGCGTTGATCTTCTTCTGCGGAGGCAGTGTTTAGCTACACTATTACATCATAGAGTTGTACATTCCACAAGCTGTTGTTTTGGCAGACTGGCTTCAATATAAGCTGTTTTTAGACTAACAAGAGTTTTGAGTTCTGAAACATACATGATGTTTTTATAGTACAGTATATCTACTCTTATATATCAAAAGATCAATGTAATTTTGATTTCTCAGTTCATGACCCCTTTAAGTAACTTTAATTTAGATATTTATATTTTGTTTGAGTCCCACCAGTCATTTCTTTCTCCCGCTTCCAGCGCACAAATCACTGTCATCCCACTCTCACCCAGCAATTCAAAGCTTCACTCAGTTGCGTCAGGTCCCGCGGGAATGCAGACCTCTACTTTGAAGCTGTTCTTAATGTCAATGTTACATTTAGATACACTTAACAGGTTCTTTTTGAATTGTCATTCTCACCAATGTGAATATTCTGGTGATTTTGTGTGTTTCAGAGGTTTATTGATCGTCATCTCTGCGACTGGTGGACACAGTTACCGCTACACTGCCACCATGCTTCATTTTCGCCTTCCTTCGACCCCTTTCTCCTTAACTCCTTGCCTTTCCTCTCTCCTCCTCCTGATCTTCCTCTTGGGGCTCGCCCATCTTTCTCAGGCCAGTGGCGACGCCCACAGCAGCCCGGGGAACTGTTCAGGGGAGGACAGCTGCTCTGAGGGTGTCGTCTTGCCGGTATGGAACCCCCAGAACCCCTCTGTAGGCGACAAGGTGGCACGTGCCATCGTCTACTTTGTGGCCCTCATCTACATGTTCTTGGGCATGTCCATCATCGCCGACCGGTTCATGTCATCCATCGAGGTGATTACATCTCAAGAGAAGGAGATAACGATCAAGAAACCCAATGGAGAGACCACCACTGCGACCGTACGCATCTGGAACGAGACAGTCTCCAACTTGACCCTCATGGCTTTGGGATCGTCGGCCCCTGAGATCCTGTTATCCGTGATTGAGGTCTGTGGGCACAAGTTTGAGGCTGGTCACCTGGGCCCGAGCACAATTGTGGGTAGTGCTGCCTTCAACATGTTCATCATCATCGCCCTCTGTGTTTACGTGGTCCCAGATGGTGAGGTACGCAAAATCAAACACTTGAGGGTCTTCTTTGTGACGGCAGCCTGGAGCATATTCGCCTACATTTGGCTCTACTTGATCCTCGCTGTCTTTTCTCCTGGTGTAGTGGAAGTTTGGGAGGCCGTGCTTACTTTCCTCTTCTTTCCGCTCTGTGTGGTTCAGGCCTGGATCGCTGACCGTCGTTTGCTCTTTTACAAATACGTCCACAAGCGCTACCGTGCTGACAAGAACCGTGGGATCATCATTGAGACGGAGGGTGACGGCATGTTCACCAAGATGGATATGGAGATGGACGGCCAAGGTGCCAATTCCCACCACAAGGAGGCACTTGATGGGATGCTGGCTGGGGTGGAGGAAGGAGGTGGAGGGGAAGAAGAGGAGGCGAGGAGGGAGATGGCTCGTACGTTGAAGGAACTCAAGCAAAGACACCCGGAGAAGGACATGGAGCAGCTGATTGAGATGGCGAACTATCAAGTGCTAGTGCAACAGCAGAAGAGTCGAGCTTTCTATCGCATCCAGGCTACTCGCATGATGATTGGAGCGGGGAACATCCTCAAGAAGCATGCTGCGGACCAAGCCAGGAAGGTGGTGAGCTGCCATGAGGCTAATGCCCAAGAAGAAGACCCTCACACCATCTACCTGGAGTTTGAGCCCTCTCATTATCAATGCTTTGAGAACTGCGGCTCTTTAAAACTCTCTGTGACCCGACATGGTGGAGACAGCGGCTGCACTGTCAAGGTAATGATTCCGCTGTCTTTACCCAACAGTACTGTGATTACATTGCTGTGATTGTACTTTAATTATATGGATGTGATATCATTTTGAGGCCAGAAACCTACATGATTCCCAGCAGCGAGGATGTACTCTCAGAGCTATTTTAAATAATTACAGCACTTAGGAGATGAGCAATTAAATGACACTGTTTTAACAGATTTCAGATTAGCTCATTTTATTATTTAAACCTTTCAATTGTGACGTTTACCACAGGAAATTAGTTTCAGTTATTTTAAGTGGTGTTGATAAGAGGGTGAAATATATTATATTATTATTAATATTAATAATACCACATAGACTAATAATTCAATAAAAATTATAATTTTGTTATTATTTATTATATATGATTTTGTATTGTTATTATTATATGATTAAATAAAAAATAATAAAACCAAATAATAATTGTGACCCTGGACCACAAAACCAGTCACAAGGGTACATTTTTTGAAATTGAGATTTATACATCATCTGAAAGCTGAATAAATAAACTTCCCATTGATGTATGGTTTATGATAATATTTGGCTGAGATACAACTATTTGAAAATCTAGAATCTGAGGGTGCAAAAAAGTCTAAATATTGAGAAAATCACCTTTAAAGTTGTCCAAATGAAGTCCTTAGCAATGCATATTACTAATCAAAAATGAAGTTTTGATATATTTACGGTAGGAAATTTACAAAAATATCTTCATAGAACGTGATCTTTAATTAATATCCTAATGATTTTTTGGCATAAAAGAAAAATCGATAATTTTGACCCATACAATGTATTGTAGAAATAAGTTATTATTATTTTATTATTATTATATGTGGTATAACAACAACAACAATACAGCATAATAATTATAATAAATTTATAAAATTTAAATATCTATTATGTTGTTATTATTATAGAATATGATTAATATTGATAGTTAATTTTTTATTAATATTGTTATTTATTATTATTATTATTGTTGTCGTTTGAATCTTTAAATTATTACATATCCTCTGCAAAAGGTTACATTATAACAGACTCTATGTATAAGACCCCCGCCCCATACACTTACTGTACCTCTTCTGAATATAAAAAGATAGCATTGCTTCCTCAGCACTTTAGCTGTGTGACAGTAGAAACTGTTCCTGTGTCTAGGTTGACTATCGCACAGAGGATGGCACTGCTAACGCAGGATCAGACTATGAATTCGCCGAGGGCACCCTGGTCTTTAAACCGGGTGAGACGGTGAAGGAGCTGACAGTCGGTGTGATTGACGATGACATATTCGAAGAAGATGAGCATTTCTACGTACATCTCAGCAACCCTCGTGTTGTCCACCGTGCCGAGGTCTCCGTCCTCGACCCTAATGCGGTGTCGCCAGGCAACAGCATTATAGGGTCCAGCCACGTTCCTCCCAAAGCTGCCCTAGGTAACACACACACTGCCACGGTGACCATTTACGATGATGACCACGCGGGGATCTTCACGTTCGAGACCAATTCCACACGAGTGAGCGAAAGTGTGGGCATCATGCAGGTGAAGGTCCACAGAACATCTGGAGCAAGGGGGAAGGTGGCAGTACCGTACCACACTACGGAGGGAAACGCCAAAGCTGGAGAAGACTATGAAGAGGTGGCTGGCAAACTGGAGTTCCTCAATGATGAGACCATGTAAGTTAAATATTCTTAATTGAATATAATTTTTTCAAGTGTGCATGGGCAAATTTCAAGCAGACAAAATGCTCTTTGTCACCGCCAACACTGATCGAGCCAGATGTTTGCAGATAGCATATGTTTTTGTGTTCGAATAGGCAAGACTGAATCAAGCCATTCTTGTCATTAAAAGTTTAGCTCAAAGCTGCACCCCAGTTTGCATACTTCTACTCTGCACTAAAAGTGCATACTTGACTAGAGATGGAAAGTTTTAAGTATATGAGGCAGGGATGTAAGATCTGTGACAAACTCATACATCTTAAAATTGTGTTTTGACATACAATAGCGAGACAAGACAGTTGTTTTTTTTTACATTTTTATTTTAATTATTATTTAATTATTATTAAAATCTTTGGAGGCTGTGTCTCCTCATTTCAAATCTATCACAGTGTCAGTGACAAATGCAAATTGGTATGCGGCCCATGTCTCAGATTTCTTTTTGTAGTCTGCATGTACATGAATGTTTTCCACCACAGATCGGTAGTTAAAATAAGACGATGTGCCCTCATGACCTGGAATGATCAGAGTATGCATGCATTACAGGCTCCAATGCTAAAAAAAGAAACACCCATAGATAAGAGCTGGCAGAAGGAAATCTATAAGTCACACATGAAAAAGGAATAAACAAGGGATAATGCTGAAGAGATGTGTGAAGTCTGGAAGGAAGCCAGAGAGGGGGAGATGGAGAACGATAAAGCTGCTGAGTTTTCTCTCAATCCTAAAAATCGATACTGACCTGCACATCAAGCACACTGCGCTGCCTGCTGCAGATCTGAGGTGAGCAGGTCAGCTGTAGAAAAGAACATGCTGGCAAAAGAGAGAGGGACGCAGTTGTTGTAAACCGCTTGTCAGGTTGTAACAACTGAAATAGGCGTTGGGGTGAACGTAGCATTGTGATTCATGGATGGACTGCATTGACAGTGAGAAAAAAAAGCTCATGCATTCCGAGATGGAGAAGTTACAATCACTAGCGGCATGCCCATTCAAACTGACAAACCCCTCAGATCCTTAAACCAAGTAGATATTGAATGCCACTTACAGTAAAAAAGTGTAAAACAGGAAAGTGTGGTGTTGGTATAGTTTTTATTTACCATGAAAGGGAACGGGATTCAAATCCAGACCTATTTTTTCCATTCGGCAAGAATATATATAATTGGTAACACTTTAGGGAACACATATTTACTATTAAGAGTTTTCATTCTAAAGACTCATAATTTAATATGTATTTATTTTCAGTTTTCAGCAGTCATTACTCCAGACATCTTAAATGTCTTTACTGTGGTAACTGTACTACTAACCTTAACTGGGGGGGGGTTTAAATGGTTAGTTCACCCAAAAATTAAAATTCTGTCATTAATTACTCACCCTCATTTCCCAGAAAGGTAGAAAGGACATTGTTAAAATAGTCCATGTGACATCAGTGGTTCAACCGCAATTTTATGAAGCTACGAGAATACTTTTTGTGCGAAAAGAAAACTTTGTCTATGCAGGATCAGAAAGTTCTCAGATTGCATCAAAACTATTTTAATTTGTGTTATGAAGATGAACAAAGGTCTTACAGGTTTGGAACGGCATGAGGGTGAGTAATTAATGACAGAATTTTCATTTTTGGGAGAACTATCCCTTTAAATTGGCTTGAAACACTCTATTATGGTAACCAAATTCACCACTATTTCTAATAAACAGGTTTTAAATGTAGGGTCACTTGCATCGAAATCAAGAAACCTAATGCTCAATTCCCAATTTAAATTCTGCTCAGCTTATTAAAAGTGCCAGTAATGTTGTCCAGGCCATTTTATTATGTCTTTGTACTGAAAAATGTCAGTTCTTTCAAAATGTCACAGCTTTTTTGTTTTGTCCATTTTGTCCAATTGATCATTTTAACACTTTCTAGAAAAACGTCTTGCATTATTTGATGCTTTGGCTACATCTGAATATTAGATTGAGATTTAATCATGTTTCCTTGTGCATGCTAAATGTTTTTTTTTGCTTTTGGGCTTATCTCACCGCGGGCACAAAGTGAGTCAGGACTGGTGCCGGTGCTCCCTCCAAAACAATATGCGCATGATGCCCATGATTCCTCTGGTTTGTAAGATTGGACTGGGAACAATATGACATTATGTAAGGGGAGCACAATGAATGAGAAATGAGAGCAGGGACAGATGGAAGCATCGATCGAAGTTATTAGTTGAAAAGTAAGAGAGCAGTGAAATGAAGAGAGGCATAATGGTGTGCAAGGCATCATGGGATGGACAGAATTAAACTATGATGTGATGATAAAGCGCAAGCTATAATTCACAGAGGAGGTAAGAGAGAGAACAAGAGAGAGAGAAGAGGTGAGAGGCAGGTGCGCAGGCGGCAGGGAAGGTAGAATGAGGGAGCCATGAGAGATGATCACACTCATACTGTTCAGTGTGTTGGGCAACTAGAGAGGGTTACAGAAGTCAAGCACTGTGTGGGAGTGTGTGTGTATGTGTGTGTGTGTGTTTTACATGAAATGTGTCATACTGAAAGTGTTGTCTATCATGGAAAGACCTGACCTGTGTGAGTGTATGTTGATTCTAAAGGGTGCGTGTGAGTATTTTTGGAGGTGGGTGAATGACCGTGTGCCATGTATGAGCTTTTGCGTGTTCAGAAGTGGAAACTGAGAACCAGAATTTTTTTTTTTTGATAATTAGGAATGCATCAGTATTAAAAATTCTGGCTAATACAGATAAACTGATAATTAATGTTGATTATAATATTTATGCCACCCAAAATATTACTTTAACCTCAATTCAACTTGAAAATGTTACCTTGTTTGTTTGTTTTTTTTTAGAATGATTATTAATTCATACTAGTGCTGTAAAATGATTAATCGCGATTAATCGCATCCAAAATAAAAGTTTTTGTTCACATAATATATGTGTGTGTACTGTGCATATTTATTATGTATATATAAATAAATAAATACAAACATATGCATGTATATATTTAAGAAAAATATGTAACGTTTATATATTAAATGTATATATAATATAAATTATATGAATATAAATATATACATGTAAATACATGTAAACATTTTCAAAATATATACTGTATGTGTGTGTCTTTATATATACATAATAAATATACACAGTACACACACATATATTATGTAAAAAAAAAAACTTATTTTGGATGTGATTAATCGCGATTAATCGTTTGACAGCAGCACTAATTCATACATTAAAATGTTAATGTGTATGCTTATTTACACATTGTCATTATGTAAACAGGAAGTTAGTAAATAGACTAATGTAAGACTAATGTAATGTAAGTTTATTTTTTCCAGTTAATTTGAAAGTGACAAAAGTGACGTGACATGTGGCCAAGTATGGTTTCCCATACTAGGAATTAGTGCTCTGCATTTAACCCATCCAAAGTGCACACACACAGCAGTGAACACACACACCGTGAACACACACCCGGAGCAGTGGGCACCCATTTATGCTGCGGCGCCCGGGGAGCAGTTGGGGGTTCGGTGCCTTGCTCAAGGGCACCTCAGTCGTGGTATTGAAGGTGGGAGAGAGCGCTGTACATTCACTCCCCCCACCTACAATCTCTGCCGGTACGAGACTCAAACCCGCAACCTTTGAGTTACGAGTCCGACTCTCTAACCATTAGGCCACGACTTCCCCCTAATTTCAAATAAGACATAACCGTAAAATGACTTGCAGTTCATTGAGGGAGTAAGATGTAAACTGACTGATTCACTGATTCACTTTTTGCCTGACTAAAGTTCGAAGTTGGCATGAAATGGAAATTCACCCTACATATTTTCTAAATGCATCTTATTGATCTTTTTGCAAATTATTCATCCGTCTATCCATGTCGTTTTTAAATGTTTTTTACATTGTAATTTTTCATCAAAATGCTATAACTCAATCTTTCAGTGAAACGACAATTCTCTCTGGTGACTTTTCTTTTTCGGTAATCTGTTTCTCTCAGATGTACGTCAAAATACAGAAGAAAAGCTCTGTTACTACATCAGTTACATCTTGGCTCTTAATTATTGTTGCACATTTGCAACCAATTTAGTTGTAGTCTTTAACCCTATATGGCAATTAACCGATAAATTGCCGATGTTAAATGGTAAGTTCACCCAAAAATGAAAATTCTGTCATTAATTACGCACCCTCATGTCGTTCCAAACCCGTAAGACCTTTATTCATCTTCGGAACACAAATTAAGATATTTTTGATGAAATCTGAGAGCTTTCTGACCCTGCATAGAGACATGGTACTCTCGTGAATGGCAGCAGACTAACCCGGTAAAGCAATAATCATTGAATCAAATCATTATATTTGTTTTCTATGCACACAAAAAATATTCCTGTAGCATCATAAAATTAAGGTTGAACCACTGATGTCGCATGGACTATTTTAACGATGTCCTTACTATCTTTCTGGGCCTTGAACATGTCAGTTGCTGTTTATGCAGGGTCAGAAAGCTCTTGTATTTCATCAAAAATATCTTAATTTGTGTTTTGAAGATGAACAAAGGTCTACGGGGTTGGAACGACATGAGGGTGAGTAATTAATGACAGAATTTTCATTTTTGGATGAACTATCCTTTTAAAGCAAAGTACTGTTTGGTTAAAATAAATTAAAAACAAAATGCTCAATCAATAATGGAACTTCTAAGAAACCCAAATCGTTCAGTGAAATCATGATGTCGATGAATTCCTTACAATTCCCATCCCTAGATATGTGTGAGTGTGATCACTCCTGAGAGCATGTTGGAGGTGGTGTGGAATTGTCTATAGTGTGTCTGTGTGGGTGGATGAGTGAATTTGACTCCAGATATGATTCTCTTAGCTTGTGCATATATGTTTCTATTGCCTGCATTCATGCTCAAAGCATGTATGCACACGTGTGGAAATAAATGCATGTGAGGGTCTGGTTTTTGAGGTTTTGAGTTTCATCTATAGCTTA